AGGCGGTGCCGAGCGCTTGCTGGTTTTTAGGACCCACCTAAGATGGGTATCCAGGGTACCCGAAATGCCCCTGCATATCTCCTCCTCTGTTTGGCACCGAACAGGATGGCTCACCGGTTAGCGACGCGTGGCTGGGAGGGCTGCGAGGACAGGAGCTCGCTGAGCCAAGGAGCAGCCTGAGAAACCAGTCACACTGTTCTCAAGACCAACAAAGAGTTAAAAAAACAATGCAAACAAAAATAAACCCAAACTGCCAAAACCAGACAAAAAAAGCATGAGGAAACAAACTTTTCAGCAAAGAAAATTATAGTTTCCTTTACTGGCTTTTGCCCTTATTTTAGGAAAGGCAGCATTACAAAGGACTGGCAATAACCACGAGGAGAAGCCATAAACACCAGCGACCAGTTGCCCACAAAACACTGAGCAGGGGCCACTTCTTTAAAAGCCACGCTGGAAAAGCCTGGTGTCTGCAGAGCACACCACGTGTCTGCCTCGGCTGGTGGCTGCCCTGCTCCTGACACTTCTCGTGCTTACTGCAAAACAGAGTCTCTCGTGGAGTGCAGCATCATAACCATTTACTTTGGTTAGTGAAATTAAGGCCCCGGTACTTTCTGTGTGTTTTTTCCAACTACTCAAACTCCCCCTATGAACTATCAGGACACATACGATTCAAACAGCAACGTAAAATCTCCTCAGTACTTTGCTCTCGATTTGGGCAGGCTAACCCGCATCGGCTCAGCCCTGGCCAGAGACGGCGGCGCACGTGCTGTGGCAGATTTAAACCCCAGCTGACGCTACCCACACGAAGCGCTGGGGACCCTCACGAAGCGCTGGAGCTGCTCACCTGAATTCCACCCTGAGCTGACCTGACCCTCACGAAGCGCTGGAGCTGCTCACCTGAATTCCACCCTGAGCTGACCTGACCCTCACGAAGCGCTGGAGCTGCTCACCTGAATTCCACCCTGAGCTGACCTGACCCTCACGAAGCGCTGGAGCTGCTCACCTGAATTCCGCCCCGAGCTGACCTGACCCTCACGAAGCGCTGGAGCTGCTCACCTGAATTCCGCCCCGAGCTGACATTACCGACACGAAGCGCTGGAGCTGAATTCCGCTCCAGTCCCTGCGCACCCGGACGGGGGTGCCTGTGCCAGCAGAGCTCAACAGGCCCTTTCTCGGCGGCATCCCCCCTCTCCTGCCTTCTGTGCCCACCCTGCTCCCTGGTGCTTGGGCGGCTGCGGGTGGAAAACCTGCTCTTTGCCTGGTTTTCTGCTGAGCTGGGTGACCGAAGTAGCTTGGCCCGCAGCCACACAAGCACAGGCAAGTGCTTCCCCTTTCGGTGGCAGCAGCGAGTTGTCAGAGCAGCTCGGCTGTATGTTGAAACCATACCTCAAGTTTCCTAATGCGCCTTTCTATTTTTAACCCGAGTCATTTCCCCCCCCTCTCTGCCATGCAGACAGCTGCAGAAAGCAGCTGGAGACAATCGGGTGCTCCATCAGGCCAATTTTCCGAGCCAAAAAAATCATCCACGGGCTGGCGGCAAGCGCACGAGGGGCAGCAGAGACACTCTCAAACGCTGCCCTGAACCCGCAGCCCAAGGCAGCCGGGAGGGAACGGCGCTGTCCTCTCTTCCCCGACCCCCGCGGCCGTGACGGCTCTCACCGAACATGGCACGTGGTGACCTGCTTGCCCAAAGGCCTGCCGCTCTCCTGGTTCACGTAAACCAGCTGAGATCTCAGTCAGCCCCTCTTGTCCCTAAAACTTCAAGGAGAAAGGCTCAAGCAGAGATTCAGAGCGTGGACCCACTTCTGCGCTTAGCTGCCCGGGCCGGCTCTCCCGGGACGGAGCCGGAGGGACCGCTGCTGCGGGCCAGCCTTCCCACCCGGCGCAGCACTCGAGAGCTCTGGCTGGGACGGCTCCGGGGCAGAGACCTCCTTGGACAAGCTCACATGCCTCAGGGAAAGGTCCGGATCCATCTTCTCCAGGTTTGGATATCTCCTCCTCAGGCACTTGGTATTAGGGGTAACAGACACACGGCAAACCCCGAATTCTCTCCTCACGTGGTAGAACAGCTTTGAAAAGCTGAGCTTTAAGCGGATAAGGTGCAGCTGCCCTGTAAAGGCAGACAAGCAATAATGAAAACAGT